TGTTTAACAGGTACAGAAAGCCAGTGACAAAGTGTATAAAGTGATGGCTGATGGTAAGGCATTTATAGTAGACATTGAAGAGAAGACTTGCACATGCCACCACTTTCAAGTTGACGAACTGCCTTGCCCGCACGCTATACGTGTGATCAAGTCACTCCACCTGGATCCAGTCCCATTCTGTTCTGCGTATTACTTAAACTCCTCTTTGTTGGCAACTTATGAAGATGCTGTGATACCAATAGAAGGTAATCAAGCCTTCATATTTAATGCACCGTCTGTCGAAAGATTGGTGAATCCTCCAGATGCAAGAGTGAGGCCAGGTAGACCACGCAAACAACGATTCAAGTCGGGTTGGGAGCATAGATCAAAGAATAGATGCAGCAAATGTCACGAGAAAGGGCACAATGTGAAAACTTGTCGTAATCCAATACGATGAAAATCATTACCATTGACGTGTAAAGTAATTGATGGTTTTTGAGTTGTTTGTTCCTTACTACCATAACTTCTTATTTTTTCTTGTTTTTATTTCATGTTTTTGAAAGCAGCATGCACATTGGCTGTACGATGCACATCAATAACATATACGAATTATAAAATGTGTTGCGAAAATATACAACTAATATACCAATGTGCATAGTATAGATCAAGTATACAACGTGCATATACCAGAATATAACAAGGATATACCTGAATATAACATTTATATAACATGGATATACCTTAATATAACATTGATATATTCAGGTTTTGCATAACAAAATTAGTCTATGGATATACAAGAATATAACTGGGATATAACATGGATATGCAACTAATATTCAACTAATATATCATAGTATATATCAAACTTACATCGTGGATATATCAGAATATAACATGGATATACCTGAATGTAATTTCATGTGATGTATGTTCATAACGAAGCTCATAAAAACATTGTTCAATGTGGACCAGGGAAAAAAAACAAAACATAAAAGCTCAAAAATAATATACCGGAATTATAACAAAATATATTTTAGGATCAACAGAATATAAGTTCAATGTTTTCCCGATAAATATAATCTGTCCATAAAAAATATACCAGAACATACCGGAATAAATAACAGAATATAAGTTAGATAAACGAAAATGTAGGTTCATTGTTTTCCCCACATTCCAGCACAACCATCAGAAAAAACAATCATAAAAAAAATACTTTATAAAATTATCTACGCTGTTTTTCCCACATTCAAAAGACCAAACCGAACTCCATCGGGGGCACTACCAGGGGATTCGTCGTCACTGTCGCATCGATTAGTTTGCTTCATTCGGCCATGAGTGTAGAGCAAATATGCGTATCTCTCCCTGGAAGAGGTGACATCGAACTTGTCGTTGTTGATGTCGTGACCCGCAATGAAATGTTCGGCGTACGATGCAACAAATACCCCACAATCACTGACGATAATATAAAAAAGTATAACACAGGAATAAGTGATTAACAAAGAATAACAATAATTATAATTAAATTAATGATAATTAGAATAAATAAGTAAAACAGGTAGAAAAAATAATTGCAATTTCAACTATAAAATTCATATATGTTGTCCTTGAACATTACTTTACCAGAAAATATTCCATATGTAAATGATTATAGCATTTACCTGTACGTCAGAAAATATGGGTGAAAAAAATAACGTATATATAACAGAATATAATGTACCTGTTGAGCTGCTGGGGGAGATCGTCAACCATAACCACCTCGATGCGGCCATTGCAGGCCACTCCTTTCCTCGAGAACTTCACCAAAGCAAGGAAAATCGGGATAATCTCGACATATGCCTTCACGTTCTCCATGACAAGGGAATCGCAATCTTCCGTGCGAATGGAATTGTATATGTGAAGTTTCATATCATCCAAAGACAGGCGTCCCATAATCCAATGTCCGATCGCATTAATTTCCAAATGAATCGGAAATATGACATGATCAACCTTGGACCAAGGGCGACCACATATAATCTTATACCCCAACATGTAGTCGACGATCATGTCATCGACATTGCAAACAGACTGGTTACGCGACTGAGACACAAACAATCCGTACAACGACTTTATGTGTTGGTCGAACAACACATCAGTCGTTGTAAACGCGACTGGGGTTGATTTAGCGTAAAATCCAAGCTTCCTTAGGTAATAGAACAAGACATCCATGTGCTGGAGAATATATATAAAACAAATGTCACAGGAACATGGTATATATGTGGTATATTAATAGAACTTGTTATATATAAGAATCAGATAGAATCTGACCACAGACTATACACTACTAAATT